GGTGCATTGCAATGAGTGCCACACCCAGACCCCAATACCGACAAAGCCCAAATTTTACGTGGAACGAGTTGAGATTATAGGTGACCTAAATCCATGAGATGGGTATGGGGGGCCTTACCGTCTAGGAGGAGAAGCGGTAACGGTAGCCGTCCGGCGGAGCCGGCGGAGCCAGTGGAACGATCCGGACGAGACCGAAACCATGTGTACCGCCAGCGCTAACGCTGGTGGTACAAATAACTTTGTTAAAATTTCTATAGTACTTACACCACACTGAGTAGAAATAAATTGTGCTGCAACACCCATAATCATATTCACAACAGTACTGGTCTCCATCTGGAAGAAAAAACAAATCAATACAGATCATTCTTGTGCACAACAAAAGCATGTCTTATTTTTCCTCTCTAAATCTCTCTCTCTCTCTCTCTCTCTCTCTCTCACACAAACCCCCAAGTGCACACAAAAATGATAGTTATATGCTATGAATAATTTCAGTAATAGCTTATCAATTACAAATATAGATGCATTTTTTTAAATAAATGGATTCCATTTTTTATTTGTAAGGTTCCTTGTTTAAAAGAACTTTCATTTTATTCATTAAAATGCGTACAAATATAAATCAGACCTTTCAAATAAAGACTTACAACAATATGTTCCATCGACACATGTAATAGCTTATCAATTACAAATATAGATGCATTTTTTTTAAATAAATGGATTCCATTTTTTATTTGTAAGGTTCCTTGTTTAAAAGAACTTTCATTTTATTCATTAAAATGTGTACAAATATAAATCAGACCTTTCAAATAAAGACTTACAACAATATGTTCCATCGACACATGTCTCGGCCTAGTAGAAAGAAGGGCATAATTAATGTATAAAATGAAATAAAAATTTTTTAATTCAATACAATAAAATTAAAAGCAAGTAGAAAATTTCTGGAAAGAGGATATCTTTCAGACTGCAAAAAGCATTTTTAATATGTCTTTATTAGAGAATTTACACTACATATAGTACAGATTAATACTCATATAATATTTGGAAGAATATAGAGCAAACAATTAACACAATTTCCATTGAAAATATTTTGTGTCAAATTACCATTTGTGATCTAATGTCAATTTAAAACAAAGCGTACTTAATGCAATGCTGGCTTGCACCTAGATCAGTGAGAGGATATATAAATAAACACATTATTAAATGATCATAACAATACACCTAACCATCTACTAGTAAATGTAAATCTTCAACAAGTATCATTATAAACAGCCAACAGAAATAAATAAATATAAACATCTGGACTGTTGCAGTGTGAATTGCAATTGACTGAGGTATACATTGTATATCCCCAATAATAATAATAATAATAATAATAATAATAATAATAATAATAATAATAATAATAAGTATTTTCTGACAAATTTAATAGAATCGTCTTACGAACGCCATAATTAACTATACATTTACCTTATTAAGACTAGTTAATGGCTAGACCTAAATTTCAACTAAAGAAAGAAATTTCATAACATGCAATACTTATAGCACGATAAACTTTATGATAAAGTGCAGAATTTTTAATACACATGTACAAGTAGAGACTAAAGTTAACCTTCATGATCATCCACCCAAATATGTTTTAATACTTATTTCAAGATATCCATTGAAGTCAAAGAAGAGACTTACATGCACCAAGCCGAAAACATACACCAGGAAGAAAAGAGACACGCACTTCAATGCCGTTTCAGCCATTTTAGATCTCAGGAATGTCACATGATCTAGGAGCAATCCTTTATTTGGGTTTTATTGTGAAATTGATAATTTTGCTTGAAGAACATTTTTCAATATTTTCACAATCAGTATTATGAATGAATCGAAATAATATACTTAAAATAATAAAGGAGATTTCAGTCATGAGGTTAGATTTTAGTTTATTATATCTGTCAACATGTAAAAATTCACAATAATTTCTCCGAAGATGAAGAACTCTTTAGTTTAAGGAGATAATAAAAACCATGGTGGAGGTAGGTACTCGCTGAATGTCACCTGACGCTTGGAGTTGTTTTGTCCCTGAACCATTATTCAGATATCTTATTCACAGTTACTAGGTGAATACCAAAGATAAATCACATTCATTTCCGAATTAGACAAATATCATGAATTAAATGCCATAGAATAAATATTTCTCACGCTGCTACACAGTAACTTAAGTGTTACCAAAGGTTAAGGTACGTGAATGGGGGTTATATCCAATTAATTTAATTAAGAAATTACTCAGGATACATTGCCTGGGCTTTGCTTGTCTTTCACGTGTAATACGTACTTAAAAGGTGATTTTTTGTGTACGTTGTTTAGAGGCTAAACTTCCATTTAGATTTAATTAACTTTTTTTTTCAAATCTATTTTGTTTTACTCAACCCATTTACGAAGCTTTATTTCAAGACATTTGCTTATATTTGATACTTGGCCAGCTCAACAAAACATCTTACACAACCCACCTGCAGCTTTTCTAATAGTATAATGATCTTACCAGTATCGGTACAGTACCTGTATTTAATGTTTAATGTTAGTTCTTTTTTTACCTCGAAAATAAGCATCAACATGTATACTGCACATTGTAAATGTTTTAGAATGAAACCCTGACAGCATTAAGAGTCTGGCATATTCTGTTGACACTGGGGAGCTCAAGACTTCATTCTCTCTTGTGTGATGTCTTAATCTATAATAAATAAATAAACTTCTTTCACTTAAACCAGATGCACAATTATGAAAGGCAAAGTTTTCTCGCTTGATCCATGGTCATTGTAATTACTAGTATTTTTGTGTCCCATTTATTCTATAATTATCCCATAAATAAGTGGGCAAAATAAAGACAAATGAGTCTGGTGCACATCTCTTCAAAGTCCAATGTTGTATGTATAAAATCAAGTTTATTTTTTCTAGGAACTAAAGAAATACTTCAACCATTTGATGTCATTGTAAGTATTAGTATTGATCTATGTTTCAGTACTTGTCACTTTGATATCTGAAATGGATGCTTTGGTTACACTTAAATAAGGAAAACTGTGTATTTTAGAGCATGGTTGATTTTGGGTAAGTCCTCATATCAATCAAACCTTTTCATTGCAGACCCTTGCTTTTCATTTCAGGGTTGAAGGCCTTTATGCAATAATAATTACAGACAGAGATGGTGTTCCAGTGTTTAAAGGTATTATTTGTGATATGATTTATTCTTACACAAAAATATCATGTGGTTAGTTGACATACATGTGCAAGAACAATGTGCTGTAAAAAATCATGAAAATGGTTTTACTTTCCTCTTCCCTATATATTTTTTGTATAATTCTCAGATAGAATTAATCTAAACAATTTGTTGTATTTTTATGTACAGACACAGATGTGTCTGTACATATTGCCATCACCTGCGTCTGTCGTCGCCGATCATGTCGCCGTCGCCGTCGCCGTCGCCGTGCACTTTCAGCGTTAACACCATAAGTGGAAGACAGTTTTACTCTTTGGCTTTATATTTACAGAGCTGACTAATATTCATTAAACGCAGGTCAAGTTCGAAAATCAGCATGATCGGGCCATTATTGTAGAATTTATGCTGTTTTTTTCACTTA